GGGGTAAAAATGGTAAACAGTAGGGATCAAATCAGGGATTTTTTTAGTTCAGGGACCAAATCGGGGGTCCGTATAATAGTTCAGGGACCAAAAAGGGGTTTTAACCTAAAACATTTGGAGTTTTCCTTAAAAAATGCACTTTCCCCATGTAAACAAAGTATAAAAAAAAATCTTTACTCAACCATATGCTTGCAATCATAATACTCAATATAATTATAACCATCATAATAAAATTACTCAAATTTTCACAATTCATTATAAATTTATAAAAAATTTAGTAGAGTTTCCCCTAAAAATTGAACTTTCTCATTTTAAACAAAGTATAAAGACATTATATACTTAACCATATACTTACAACCATGATATTCAATATAATTATAACCACTAAAATAAAATTAGTTAAATATTTGCAATTCATTGTGAATTTATAAAAAATTCCATAGAGTTTCCCCTAAAAAATGAACTTCCCCCTGTAAACAAAGTATAAAAACATTATATACTCAACTATATACTTGCAACTATGATATTCAATATAATTAAAATGCAATTTGATTTCATTTAAATGAATAAATAGAGGAGAGTTTGAAAGATATACACTACTAGAAAACAGTTTTTAATTGACAGAAAATTCTGTCGATTATAGGTATAACCGACAGAAAAAATAGTTGAATAAACATGCGTTGAAAATAACTATAATCGACATAACCGACATACATAATCAACATAAAAAATAGTCAAATAAACGTGTGTTGAAAATAACATTTTTGTCGATTATGTTGGTATCTGATTTAAAAAAATTTTAAAAATAATTTTACATTTATTAATTAAATTAGAAATATCAACCAAAATATACGTAAAACAACAATGTGTTGTAGTAATGTGTATATATATATAGATAAATCTACAAAAACTAATTGAAAAAATATAATATTTTGAAAATATTATGAAAATAATGAAAAAAAAAGGAAATTGAAAGTATAAATAAAAAGTAATATTATAAATTACCTCATAATATGATTTCAACCTTAATAACCTACAAAAGAAAAAATATTATTAGATCAAATAAATATAATTGAATAATATAGAAACTAAAATAAATGAAAAAAAAAAAAAACTTAACACTTTGAAAGGTAGAAGGCATTGAAGGGGAAAGGGGAAAGGTGAAGTAATGTAAAAACAATAAAAGAAGAAGAAGAGAGGTAACTAGAAAGGGAAAAGATCAAGAATTAAAATGGTAGAGTTTAGTGGGAAGGGAGGATGAAG